TAACAATTAGGCTTGGCAGCAGCAACCAGAAGACAGTGGAATAATAACTTCAGATTGCTGAACAATAACTTCAAACCACTGTTGATGTAGAATTTGATACATACTGAAATTACATATTTAAGAAAAGGACAACCAAAGCTGAAAGAATTATCACCAACAGATGCTCATTAAAGAAACTTCTAAGAATACATGATAAAGAAAGGATAAAGAAAAATTATCCCAAAGGAAAGTCTGAGATTTACAAAATAATATCTAATTTGGAAGTTAAAAACAAGATAATGTTAAGATATCAGCTATAACAATAACTTGTCACAAGGGGATGGTGATTAGCAGCCTGCCTCTGGGAGGAGAGTGGAGCTGTTAACTTCAGACTTTTAATAGCAGGATTCATTTTGACATATTCGTACATGCACATAATATGATAATTCTCATTTCCCAATATCCCCTTTCTCTCTCCTCCCTCCCTCTGATGTCCTCCCTTCTATTTTGATGGGGGGCTTCTGGGGACTGAACCCAGGGGCTCTTTACCACTGAGCTACATCCCCAGCCCTTTTTATTTTGAGATAGGGTCTCACTAAATTATTGAAGTTGGCCTGGAACTTGCAATCCTCCTACCTCCCTAGTTGCTGGGATTATAAGCATGTACCACTGTGCCTGGCTCTAATTTTTTACATTAGTGTAACTTTAGCCTTTAACTACACATGACAAAATTTAAGAGTAATCTCTTAAGAATAGAAAGAGAGTGCAAGACTTCCAAAACAGTAAAGGTAAAAAAGTGGAGTCAAAAGAATAATCTGAAAGGAAACAGGAAAAGAGGAAAAAACAAAGAAATGCAGGAAGAATAGCACAAAATAAAATAGTAAAAATAATTCCAAATACATCAACAATGAAATAAAATTATTATAAAGTATAAATGTAGTAAATTCACAAGTTAAAGAAAAGCATGTACAGATTGGATTAAAACAAAATGATCCAGATACTTGCTGTATCCTAGAGAAAGTCTAAAATACCAAGATATGGTTTATCAGAATAATTAATGTTAGCTGCTGTAACAAATAACCCATAAGATTGCTGGGCTTAACAGAACAAAGTTTCTCTCTCTCTCTCTCTCTCTCTCTCTCTCTCTCTCTCTCTCTCGGTAGGGATCAATTCCAGGGCCTCAGGAATGCTAGACAGATTCTCTACCACTACATACCCAGCTTCAAAGTTTATTTTTTGACCACATCACAGTTCATCAAGCCAAGTTCCTGCTCTTCCTCAATCAGTGACTTAGGAATCTAGTATTCTTCACTCCTACTTCTACCACCTTGGAGTTCTTTGCCTCAGACCATGTGAACAGAGGAATGGGTAAGTAGGAACAGAAGATCACATACCCATGTACAATATTTTAGGGGCTAAGCCTAGAAGTGGTATACATCACTTCTGCCCATATTCCTTTGAAGAGAACTCATTCACAAGGTCCCAACATAACTACAAAACAGGTGTTTTGAAATTTGTTCCTAGGAAGAGGAAATGGAATTAGTGAGCATCTAGCCAGGACTTGTCACATGAAAACATTGAGAATAAAAAAGATGAAGGGGCTGGGTGTGTAGCTCAGTGCTAAAGCATGCTTATAAGCATGCACAAGGCCCTGGATTTAATCCATAGTACCAACCCCTTCCAAAAAAATATAGGAAAGGATATGGATTTGCCAGGCTGACATTAAGCAACAGAAAGCTAGAAGCTTATGTGTGTTTGTGGTACAGTGGTGCATGCCTGTAATCCCAGTGGCTCAGGAGACTGAGGCAGGAGGATTGTGAGTTCAAAGCCAGCTTCAGCAAAAGTGAGGTGCTAGGCAATTCAGTGAGACCCTGTCTCTAAATAAAATACAAAAAATAGGGCTGGGGGACTGGGGATATAGCTCAGTTGGTAGAGTGCTTCCCTTGCATGCACAAGGCCCTGGGTTCAATCCCCAGAACCACAAAAAACAAACAAAAAATAGGGCTGGGGATGTGTGGTTCAGTGGTTGAGTGTCCCTGAGTTCAAACCCCAGTAATCTGCCCCTTCTTCAAGGAAAAATGTGTTATTAGGAATAAAGAGAGTAACTATATAGTGATAATATATTTAATTCACAAGGAAAATATGTTAATTCTGAAATTATATATGTGCCTAATATTGTCTTCAAATAACAAAGCGAAATTGACAAAAAAGTGTCAGTTTTCTATCACTATAACAAATACCTGAGAATCATCAACTTATGAAGAGAAAAGTTTACTTTTGGCTCACTGTTTTGGAGGTTTCTGAACATAATGAATTAGTTCTATTGTTTTGGGCCTTTGGCAGCACATCGTGGTGACCGCTAGTGTCAGAGTAAAATGGATCACCTTGTGTTCAGGAAGGAAAACATAAAGGAAAAAGAAAGGGCTGGGGTCCCATTATCTTATTCAAGGGCATGTCCCCCCATGACCTGAAGACCTCCCACTAGGCCCCGCCTGTTAAAGGTTCTACCACCTCCCAGTAGCCGAGGATGAAACCTTTCTCACATGGACTTTTGGGGGACACCAAAGGTCAAAACTATAGCACAGAATTATGAGGCAAAACTGACAAGTCTACCCATTGTGGTAGGATATACATAACGTACAATTTTCTCAGTAATTGGTGTCACACAGACCAAGAATTAGGAGTATATAACAAAACATTACGTGTGTGTATATTCAGATAGCATACTATATAGAAAATAATACAATTAACCAGCTTGATCAAAAGGACAAATACAGAACTTTGTATCCAACATAGACAACGTACATTTTTCTTAGGAATACAGGAAACATTTATGAAAACTAATCATGTACTTGGCTATAAAGCAAGTCTCAACGAGTTTCCCAGAATAACATACAAATCATGTTCTCTGATTACAGTGCAATTAGGTTAAAAATAAATGACAGAAAAATAAATTTTAAAATATAAATAACAGAAAGATAACCAAAAGAAAGAAGACTGAAAATATCTATCCTATTATTAATTACCTACAGTAGTAAAGAATTAGAAACTGAAATATCCAATGAAATGGGTATGGCTAAGTAAATTTTGCTTTATCAACCCATTGGGCTCCCAGGTGACCCTTAAAACTTATTTTTTTTTCAATATTTATATTTTTTTAGTTGTAGTTGAACACAATACCTTTATTCCATTCACTTACTTTTATGTGGTGCTTAGGATCGAACCCAGGGCCCCACACATGCTAGGTGAGTGCTCTACCACTGAGCCACAATCCCAGCCCCCTTAAAACTTATTTTTAAGTGCATTATGTTTAAGATATAATATTAAGTGAAAAACTTAAATCTGTTACCTATGATTATAGTCATGTGAAAAATATATGGGCATTTAGACAGATTAAAAAGGTATAATCAAATGAAAATATTTTTGTATTATATTGTTGGGATTATATGCAATTTTGCTTTTCAAAGGATTTTCAGTCACGTGGTTATATTGTTTATGTGGGATATCATGAGGAAGAAGTTACAGTTAATGAAATATGAGAGGTGGGTACCATGAGATACAGAGTGTGCCCTTCCTTTGTCCTTTTCCTCATCTTACTACCTGAAATCTCCCTTAGCTTTGTTACTTATTACATGGAATATGAGTGGATTGAATCTGACAGGCATTTGACTGGATAAGGAACTGCTTTGCAAATTAATAAAAAGATGCATGACTCATGAGGACAAATAGGTGTTTTTCTATTCAACCAGTGTCCAGTACAAGCCGAAGACAAGGGGATTATCAAATATGTGTGTCTATGTGTGTTTGTGGTACTAGGGACTGAACCCAGGGGTGCTCTACTACTAAGCCACACCCCAGCCCTTTTTATTTTGAGACAAGGTCTCATTAAATTGCCCAGGCTGGCCTCAATCTTGCTATCCTCTTGCCTCTACTTTTCTAGTCACAAAGTGTGCACCACCAAGCCCAACTTCCCTCTTTTTTTGGATATCAAATGAAGATGTATTAGTAACAAAGAATGCATGTTTATGTTAAATATATTCTAGTGGGAATCATACACATTTTCTCCAATATTCTTTGCCATTAAAGAGAATATTTTAGCAGAAGATAAGATCCTTTTGTAGATTACTATGTCTGAGTTAGATCAGCAATCATGTATTTTAAATGTTAAACAAAATTTAAAAATTTTATTTTTAAAATTCAATAAATAACTGCACTTTTAAAAATTATCACAATCTCCAGTAAGGTTTGATATATTCCAGTAGCCTGGATCACAGAAGAAATTAATAATTTGCACTGTATCAGGACTGTGAATTTATCAATTCAAAATGAAATTGATAAATATTACTCTAGTCTTTATACTTGAAAGATATCCAAGGTACAATATTAGAGCAGATGCAACATTCTGTCCCAGGTTCTTATAATGCTCAATAACGATTAGGTATGCTACGTCATGCCTACTGTAGCAACAAATCCATTATTATTTTTATTATAATTCAGAATAGGTCATTCATAAGCTGTTCTATAAAAACAACATGTAACTAAAAAAAGACACTGTAGGCTGACTCAAGAACATTCTTTTATCTTGTGAATTCTAATATTTATGCTAAGCATGGCCTGTTCAGATATTTTTTAAAATGAAAAAAATCAAAATTGGATAAAAGTCCCAGGGATTAATTTAACTTATCATTTCTTGAATAAAACTGTATTCTGCTAGTTTGAAGGCTTTTAGTAGAAATAATTTATTTAAATTAAAATCCTGTCAGTAAAAAATAATTGCACCCATGTTAATACAAAAGGCTTACAAATATGTCACACATTTGGTTAACACAGCAGACCCAGGACCTGTTTCTATTTGATTGTCCTTTATTTACAGACAGACAAGCAGATTGTTAAACTACTTTGGTTTTCTGTCAATTAGCTGTGTATCAACATGAGGGAGAATAATCAATATGCAAGTCTTGATACCAGGCAAATAATTCCTTTTCTTCTTTTTCCAATTCACTATCTGATGTAGATTCATTAACTTTCACAATGTCAAAAGAAGGGGTAGAGATGATGATTGTCTCTTGTTTCTTTGCACTTGCTGCATTCTTTTGCAGTTCCTAGGCAGAATTATAAATAAAAGTGCGAGTGTTTTATATTTGGCTTTTACTACTTTATATTTTTTTACTCTTTATACTTAGTCTAATCACCCCCAAATTTATAGCAGATTTTTAAAAATTACCAAATAATACATGAATACTTGTTCATTATAAATATTCTGACAATATGAAAGCATATTGAGGCAGACTTTACATAGTATAGCCTTTTATAAGTTTAGATAGAGCCATGCCTATAGTCTCATACTACTTGGGAGCCTGAGATGGGGGACTGCTTGAGCCCAGAAGCTTGAAGCCAGGCTGGGCAACATAGTAAGACCCTATCTCTCAAAAACAACAACATTTTAGACAGAAATGTCTTCCATTCTGAGAAAACCACCATCGAGATGTGCTCAATTTAACAGCATCAACATACGGAGACAATAGCTTTTTTTGCCAATTCATGCTGATGTGAAGCCAAAACAGCTGGTGTTTTTCAGAACAGCTACTAAAATTGTTTAAGAATTTTTCAATATGTGTTACTAAGATGAAAGTTGCTTTATACTATTTGAGGTATAACATGCCAAAAGTGTTTTGGCCTTGAAGTTGTAGATTAGGAAAATCTTACACAAGTAGAATTACTTATGGACAGTTTGAATATTGTTCAAAACAATGAATTATGTACAAGTTAAACTTGCGGTCACCTCAGAAGCATTCATGTTTTTAGCCATCTTATAAGCTTTTCTCATTTTTTCAACTTTCATTCAAGCTTGCTTGGATCGACGACCTGGAGGTTTCATTTCACTTTGCTGCTGGTAGGGCTGTAATAAAGGCTGCATAATTGCAAAGGATGGACACCTAGAAAATGTTTGTATCATAGATGGAAAAAGCATTCAAAAATTTAAAATGTGGAGCAAGTTCCAAATTGTATCACAGCATTCTCTAGCAAATATATCATATACTTCAGTATATAAAGCAGCATTGTGTGAATTTTTTTTTTGTACCAGGAATTGAACCCAAGGGCACTTTACCACTGAGTCAAAATTCCAGCCATTTTTATTATTCTGAGACAGGGTCTCACCAAGTTGCTTAGAGCCTCACTAATTTGCTGAGTCCAGCTTTGAACTCATAATCTTCCTGCCTCAGCCTCCCACGTCACTGGGATTACAGGCGTGTGCACCTACTTGTGTATGAGCTTTTAGTTTAACATCATCATTTCTGCTTGAGTTTACATAGGACTGTGCTTTATCTGGCACTTATGGAGGTGTACAGGTGATGATGTTGATGATGATGGAAGTGGTAAAATGAGGTAGTAATTTAAATAAGCTTTCCTGGAAAGTACTGTGCAGTAGCCATTTGAATATTCTTTTACACCATATAGTAACACCAAAAAAGCAGCATATTTCATAATAGTGAAAAAATAAACTATTTTTTTTGGTACCAGGGATTGAACCCAGGGGTGCTTAACCACTGAACCACATCCCCAGATCTTTTTAAATGTTTATTTAGAGATAGGGTCCTGCTAAGTTGCTTAGGGCCTCGTTAAGTTGTTGAAGCTGGCTTTGAACTCCTGATTCTTCTGCCTCAGCCTCCTGAGCTACTGGGATTACAAGCCTGCGCCACCGCACCTTGCTAAAACAAGCTATTTTTTAAAATTGATGTTGGGATTAGACACAGTTGGTGCCCTGCCTACAACCCCCTTGGCCTTACCATTGCAGGCACATCAGTTCAGTTTCTACCTGCCAGCATCTGCATCACTTCATCTGAGAGCTGTCTTTGAAAACAAGAGCCTGTTCGGGGAAGACTGAAAGTGCCCAAGAACTAATACCTCTCCTTCTAAACAATGCTAAAGCAATGACTAATGATACTCTGGCCCCTGTGGGATAGCTCTGAGTTGCATGTTCTACACTGGCTCTGATATTCCCAGGAGGGATTAAACTCCAGTTACCCACTGTGGTAACTTGCTTGCAAACACACAGTTTTGGCTGCCTTCCCTTCTCTGTTTCGCTTTTCTATCTCTTCCATTAGTGGTTCCTGGGATCACTTCCCAAATAAACTACTCAAACTCAAATCCTGATCTCAAGGCTTGCTTCTGGGAGATCTCAGATTAAGACTGCATTCAACGATGGCTTTATGAAAATATATTTTCCTCTTCAGTTGATTTAGAATTTGGTTACTTATGTGGCTCTTAAGTGACTCATCCTTGGATCATCAATAGCAAGAATCCAAATAGCAGGGAGTCTCGGTTATATATGGTGGCAAAGAAAATTACATTATTTATTTGACCTTGGTGGTATTAGGGTTAAGTTCTATATTCAGTACCTACAATGAATGAGTTAGAAAAAATGTATTTCATAGTGATAGACCATGCCCAACTAGGCCATCTGCTTGGCAAATGTATAGCCTTGATCATAAAATAAATGAGTTAAATTATATTATTGGGTCAGCACCACTCATCTATACTCCTGAAAAAAAGAACCCAGCATGTTTGCTTTACAGTGGGTCATCAGTGTCTTCATGTACTAAGGGAGTATTTTTCATTCCAAATGAGTATGTGGAAATAGATTGCCAGTATGTCCTCTTCTGTCTTACCATCTCTATCTTAGAAAAAAGTCAGCTTTATTTGTAAATAGGATGGACAAGGTGAGTCTTAGTAATGGAAAGAAAAAAAAAGGAATGTAATTGGAGCAATCACATTCTGTCCATGTTGTTTCAGATCATAATACATCTATTCTGCTACAACATCCATTTCCAAAAGGTGAACTGGTTCACATGCTATTGGTAAAGAAAGGAATAATGTCACTGTAATTTATATGCAATTTATCCTAGGCAAGGGGAGCCAGAATAGCAAGAACAGAATTATAACCTTCAGCACAAAAGGAAAAAAAAAATCCTTCGGCTCTGTGCTGCATAGGCAATAGGAGCCTTTTTTGATTTTATCTGTGAAAACAAAAATTAGTACTTGCACCTAGGGCTGTCTCCCCAGAGAGACACACCTACCCACCCCCAATCCACTCTTACTGCCCTCCATCCTCTTCCCCACTTTACATGGCTCTTAGTTCTTGCCAGGTTGCACTGTTTCTCATGTCCACTTAACAGGCAGCCATGCTGGCCTAACACTACCTGCTCTAATTAAAGAGTCACCAGCATTTCTCCTCTATCAATGTATAATTTTTATATTTGCTGTGGCAGCCTCCAGCCACCCTGAGTTGCCTATTCGTTGGTACAAGTTATCTCCCCAGGTACCAATTGTCCTTTTTGTTAGTGCTGTGTTTATGAAGTTGCATGTGTTTTGGGCAATCTGCCCCAACCTTATTTTCCCCAAATGCCCTATTATTTATCTTTAGTGAGTTCTTTGGCAGAATGTGAACATTTTTTGGAACTGTCTTTAGCATTGTAAGCCTGAGGAAGGATCTCTTTTACCTAACTTGAGAAACAATCTTTAGCTGGTGCTGACGCATCTCTTCTGTCCGTGGTCTCTGTAACAGATACTTCATTTCTTTTTGTAAACGGTTTGAGATTACTCCAGACTCTGCATAATCAACTATGTCATATATCATCATTGTCCTGGGAATGTTTTCGAGGTTTAATCTTCGCCAGTGGTTATTCCTGCCACCAGATGACGCAGGGGTCTCATCCAGGAGACTGGAATACTGTGTGGGAAAAAATGATTTGGAATGATTGGTTGCTGGCAATCTATAATGGCTTTAGACACATTTCCCAAGGTTCCATTCAAATGTCACTTAATCCAAGAGCCATTTCTTGGTCTCATCTCTGAACTCTATTGACATCTTTTCTATGACTCTTATCACCAACTAAATGTTCCATCTTTGTACATTTCAGCTCCATTGCTGAAAGGCAGGATTCAAGTCACACAGTATAACACATTTATGCTCACTAAATGTTTATTTAATGCATAAACACTTTTATGACACATATCACTCAGATAAATTAAACTCAGGAAAGGTCTAAAAATTAATACCCAGGTAGCTATGTGTTCTGCATATCGGTTGTGCTCGTTAATGACATGCTTGGGTTCAGAGGACATTTGCACAAAACCTTTTTAGAAATAATGAGTTCATCTCTGGTCCTAGGTGTAGACCTTCATTATTCTCATTCAGTGTACTTGTAGAAATTCCACTTTTTTCAACTTACAATTATATCACATTAGGAATTTAAAAATATAAATATATATAATCAATTTAATATTATAAATGTGCATTTAAGAGAGAAATAGGGCAGGAGGAGCTACAATTCTAGGAAATAGGGTAATAGTGAGGTCTTTAGGGTATCCTATGCACAAATACACACACTCTCACACTTTCATGCACATGTACACACTCATGGATACACATGTGCATATGCACACACACACACAGAGGCAATGCTCCCTTTGTACCACTTGGGCATGCACAAATTTCAATTACCACCATCTCACTGAATAATCACACCAATCCCCCAACAACATAGTGCCAATTTCAGTTAGCCTGGTGTAACTGGGAGCAATTACATAAAGTAGAAACACTGCTACTAGCTCATCAATTCATAGATCACTACATAAATGACAAATGTGCATCATGATTAGTGACAAATCACAATTTTCAAAATCTGTCAGTGTTTAGTTAGTGCAGATCTGTATTGAGTTTACATGTGGATAGTAAATCATGTAATTGTGTTGCCTCTTTGTCTCACAGTGATAAACTCACGTGACATTTTACAAAAATGGTTAATCAAAAGAGGAGATTAGATGTTGTGCCTCGGAGTATGGTGCAGACACGTCGAGATGGCTACGGTTTCTAATCTAACATTTTCTGGAAAAGTGCACACCCTAACAGTGAGGGAAAGCTGGCTTTTCTGGATATGTCTCTAGATGACATTATAATCCTTAAAAAGGTAGAAACTACCAGCAAGGACAAAAAAAAAAAAAAAAAGAATAAACAACAGAACAATAGAAAAACTGGAGTTTCAAGATGGCTATCAAATGCTGGTAGGCATCACAGGAAGAAAGGATGCATGAAATTCCAGAACAAGTTTGAGGAAAGAGATGATGATAAAAAAACAAAAAACAAACAAACAAAAAAAACAAGGACCTTTTGGAGTGAAGTCTGGACAAAGCCCTTGAATAAGAAGCCTTCAATTGAGCAGGAGAAGTGCAATGACAATTATAAGGCCCAATCAGAGAGGAATCAAGACCAATCGGAGAAACAACATCAATCAGAAGGAAATCAAGGCCACTTAGAGATCAGTAAGATTTCCTGGCAAATCCAAGAGATCTCATAGTCAATCAGAGAGATCTCATGGCTACACAGAAAAATCTCATGGCCAATCAGAGAGATCTCATGGTCTCTTGGAGGGATCTTGTGGTAGCTCTGAGAGATCTCATGGTCACTTGGAGAGACCTAATGGTTATTCAGAAAAATATCATATCATATTAGAGAGATCTCATGGTCAATCAGGGCTATCTTACGGCCAATCAGAGATTATTGAAGATGCTTACCAGGAGGAAGATTCAAATCATCACCTGAAACCGAGTCTGAGTTTGATAAGTTTTGCAATGGAAAAAAAAAAAAAAAAAAGGAACGAATACTTCCAGAGAAGTACAACAAAGAAATAACAAATAACCTACTGAATATAAATTGAGAGATAACATCAGAAAATGAGTGCAACTCCAATGAAACTAAAAGAACTAATGAAAGATATGTGAGTCGTGGAATTGAAGCTTTCCAAATGAGAACTAAATATATAACCAACAGTTCTCATAGCAGCCCAAAGGAATATTCCTGAATTTCAACTTTCAAGCACTGGGTAATCAGACTAAGCTTTCACTCAACAAGAGATTCTCTAAGCTGAAAATTATGAGAAAAGCAGGATCTATCATCAACTGAAGACCAAAATGTCCTTTCTTTTTAGAGGTTCACTCGTAACAGGAAGACTGTAGTGAATTATATTCAAGAGCCTATATACAATTAACTTTGTACTGTTTTATTAAAGTATTTTGCCTTATATAAGTTTTTTTAAAGTTATTATTTATTTATTTTTATTTTTAAATGATTTTATTTATTTATTTATTTATTTAATACACGACAACAGAGATATGAAAAATTCTGGTATATATGTGTATTAAGAATTGTAATGCAAAAAAGAGTACACGTATAATGCCTTATATAAGTTTTAATAGAGTAATTTGTCAAGACTAAGTAAATGAAAGAAGAAAAATGTTTAGCTTTGTTTGCATAAAAGAACAGGAAGGTAAGCAAGAAGGAGGTGATTTCAAATAAGAGATTTTTAGGAAAAATAGCTCTTTTCAGAATTTTTGGCATTTGAGAATTTGTTTCTTTGTTTTGATTTTATTCCTTAAGCTCTAGAACCTACATGAGTCTTAAGTGGACTGCCTCCATTTCATCAGTATAGCAAGGTAATTGATAAGGATCTGTTATGATTCAATGTTCTATGCAACAAAGGTCAGTCTTAAAGATTGATTTATACTCTGATTATTAAAATGCTCAATTTGTATCCTAGCTTTTACATTAGCATAAAGATTTTGTGGTTTTATTTTTTACATGGATTTATTGTAAGAACTTTTAATTCTTCTACTGACATTTTTTTTATGAATATGTTAAAGGAATAAAGTTTAAATATAAATGGGAAAAAAGAGGAAATTGTCCAGCAAAGAAACAGAAAGTGGTAACACTGGAAGGGAAATTGGAATCAAATGTAAATGAAGTTCTGGAAGAAAGAGGTGACTATGGAATGCTGACACTGCCATCATTTAAAAGACTACAAATGAGTACCTAGAGGAATTTTGTGAAGGTGAACTTATCAACAAAAATGAGGAAAGTGGCTATGATGAAAATGATGAAGCTCTCCCAGAGTAAGTGATGCTGGCCCAAAACAGCTTCACATTAAAGGAATTGTGACATATTTTGCAACATATAATGTGCAAAGAATAAAATGTTGTTGACAGTTATCTAAATTTAGGAGTATGACAACTCACCAGGACATGAAAGATGCTTGCTCCCTATTGTAAACTTAAACAACAAAAACAAGAAGGCAAGCACTATTTTAAAATTACTTTTGATAAGTTGTTTTTCATAGCTTTCTTTCTTTTATTTGTGGCACTGGGGATCAAACCCAGGGCCATATGCATGCAAGGCAAGCACTCTACTACTGACTGGGCATATGCCCAGTCCATTTTCCACAACTTTATTGAGATTCATATACTATGCAATTCACCCACTCAAGAGTTTACAATTCAATGGTTTGTTAGTATATTCAAGTTGGTAAGCTTTTACAAAGAAATAAATACTTTCATTCTTAATGTTTCTAATATTTAAATTATAGCATATTAAATGTTTTAGGTTTTTTCCTTTCATTTTCCTATATGATAGTAAGGGAAAGATTTTAATGTTCTGACAAAAAATTTTGTAGGTCATGGGACAATCACAATTTTCCCCATTGATTAAGTTTTCCTTGCATGATTATAGTCTGCATTGTCATTTTTATGATTACACATTACCATGCATGGTGAGACTGCCTGTTTATTTTCCAAGAGTAGAGTAGTAAGATAAGTGAATGTCACAGAGCTGTCAATGATATTCTCTATCACTTATTCACTGTGTGACCTTGGGCAAGTTTTTTGAACCTTGTTAAGCCTCATTTTCTCATGTATAAAAAGGGTCACATGACATGTTCTGAAACTGATTGTAGTTGAGGTTCCACAACTTTCTGAAAATAGTAAGAGTATTAAACTCTACTTAAAATCTATACAGAGATAGTATGTAAATGATAGCTAATAAAAGTATTAACAAAAAAAAACAATAAAAAGGGTCACATGATGGGCTGGGGTTGTAGCTCAGTGGTAGAGCACTTGTCTAGCACATGCGAGGCCCTAGGTTCCATCCTCAGCACCACATAAAAATACGTAAATAAAGTAAATAAATGTATTATGTCCATCTACAACTAAAAAATATTTAACAAACAAACAAACAAAGGGTCACATGATTTACAGACCTGAAGATTAAAGGAGATAATATACTAGTAAAGAGCTAAAAATCAATGCCATGCATAGGAGCTCAATAAATGTTTGCAATCATCTTATTTCTCTTTTCCAATATGCCTATCTGGGTATTTATAGAGAGCTATGACACCAATCCTTGACATATTCACATCTCCAAGTATGTTACCCATGTTCTTAGCAAAGATATTTGGCACCCCTGACTATGTATTTCCTGATCCAATTCCCTATCTCATAGGTTATCTCTTAAAAAAATAAAGAGGGCTGTGGATGTAGCTCAGTGGTAAAGTACCCCTGAGTTCAGTCCCCAGTACCAAAAAAAAAAAAAAAAAAAAAAAAAAAAAAAGAGAGAGAGAAAGAAAGAAAGAAAAAAAAAATCATCAAGAAGTCTCTAAGGCACTGCATTAATTTCATGTTTCACATTGAAGCAACTGAGTGCAGAGTTAAGGCCATATATTATCATTATTATGAGCCATAATTTTGTAGTCCCTTGTTTATTTAGAATTTGCAAAATGAGGATAATAACAGTACTTGCCTCTTTGTATTGTTATGAGAATAAAAGGAATTAGTGCTACAGAAGCATTTTCTGTTATTATTATTCAGGTACGTAATTTAAGCGCACTGATCCAGCACTGCTATCCATCCAGTTAGACAAACCAGAAACCTAGAAGTCATGCTGAATACCTTCCTTTAGCTTCCTTCTGTATCTGTCACCCAGGACAACTGCTTTTTCTCTAATTATCTCTTTCATCTCCAGACTCAGACTTTAAACCACGTTATCACCATTTCTCCTAGAATACTCAGGAGCCTCCAGGCTAATAAAGGACTCTTGCTGCCTTCTAATTCATTCTTTATGCTGCAGCCAGAGTGATCATATCACTCATTAGATTTGATCACCTTATTTCTTGTAACACTACATCAGCTTCTCATTGCACACAGAATAAACAAGGAAAAAAAAAAAAAAAAAAAAACCTTACCATTGTCTATAGCCCCGCATGATCTCTTATCACCCTGCAGCCTGCCTGCATGCCACACCCTTTGTATGCCCTTTTTAAACCCCACAGACCTGTTTTGGAGCCTTGCAGCTCCTCCGCCACAGAGCTTTTGCCCCACCTGCTCACTCCCTACATTATTAATTATCTGTCCGACAACCATTTCCCACATCTCTTTTGCTCATAAAGCCCAGTTTTTATTCAGATATGGAATAGCAATATCCTCTGGGAAGGAGGGCCCCAGCATATGCACCATGTTTTAACTCAATTGTGGGAAAGGATGCTGTTTTCTTTTATCAGTGATTGGTTTAGGGAGAGTTCTAACCGATGGGACCTGAGAAATCTGTTTGGGAATTCTGGGAAAGATTTTCTTTCTTGAGATGAAGATACCAGGAATTCCCATCTTCTTCTCTTCAAATGGAACTGAGGGGGAATATGATTATCATTCTTGTTACCATGAGAAGAAGCCAAGAGGATCAGAGAGTAGTTGACCCAGAACCCTGATATCCTTGAGCTACTGAATTAGCAAGCTCTGGAACCACCTATCTGAGGACTTCTTTCACAGGTCAATAAATAACCTTTATTGCTTAAGTGTCTTATGTTGGGAATATTCTGTTATTGTAGCAGAGAGCTTCTAGAAAATAAGAGAACCCTTCCTTATGAGGTCAAATCCCCATCATTTACTATTCTAGCGCCATGTGATTTTTGTTTATTTATTTGCATGTGGTACTGAGGATCGAACCCAGAGCCTCACCCGTGCAAGGCAAACGCTCCGCCACTGAGCCACAACCCCAGCCCATAAAAGTCACTAAGCCATTTTAAAGTGTGTAACTCAGTGGGGTTTTCTGTTTGTTTGGTACTGGGGATTAAACCCAGGGGTGTCACATCCTCAGCCCTTTTTATTTTTTATTTTGAGACAGGGTCTCACTGAGCTGATTAGGGCCTTGCTAAGTTGCTGAGGCTGGCCTTGAATTTGAGATCCTCCTGCTTCAGCATCTTGAGCCACTAGGGATACAGGTATGGGCTACCATGCCTAGCTCAATTCAGTGGTTTTTAGTATATTTACAATGTGCAAAACCATTGCCTCTAATTCCAGAATATTTCTATCACCCCCCAAAGAAACCCCATATCCCTTAGCTATTATCTCTCCCCAGACCCAAAAAGCCACATATGACATTATATCATATTACACGAAATATCTATACTAGGCAAATCCATGGAGACAGAAAGCAGACTGGTAGTTCACAGGGGCTGGAATGACGGAGAGTGAATGTTTATTGGATTCCTTCTGGGGAAATGAAAAAATCCTGGAACTAGATGGTGGTGATAGTTATATAACACTGTGACTGTATTTAATGCCTCTGAATTATACACTTCTTTTTTAAAAAAATATTTATTTTTTAGTTGTAGTTGAACACAATACCTTTATTTCACTTATTTATTTTTTTATGTGGTGCTGAGGATCGAACCCAGGGTCTCACACGAGCGAGGCGAGCGCTCTACCGCTGAGCCACAACCTCAGCCCTTGTTTATATTTTTCAACATCTAAATTCCTTACCTGCATGTAATCTTGCATGGTCACAATATCTACATGATCAGTTACTTTGAACTTCTGGAAAATATGTTCATCTTCCATAATTTGTTGATAAAATTTCTTTTTCCCCATTATCTTGCAAGCATCAACCATTGCCTAAGGAAAGAATAGGAAACAGATTTTTAAAAATACTAGTATAATACCTTTAATGATCAGCACACATTTTACACATATTTTTCTAACAATTATATATCAAACATGGTTCCTTTTTCCTAGCAGCTTGCTACTGACTAGAAAGGCTACCTTTATAAAGAGGAGCATATAGAAATTTTAAAACCACTTAAAATTTGTTCCATAGCCATACCTATACAATTTTAAAACGTAGCTAGAGGAGTATTTGAGTCCACAATTCTTTTTTAAAGACTTTTAAAAATATCTTTATTTTTATGTGGTTTTGAGGATCGAACCCAGGGCCTCATGCATGTGAGGCAAGCACTCTACCACTGAGCCACAACCCCAGCCGGAGTCCACAATTCTTAGAGGATAGTTTTTTTTTTTTTAAATCTGCTTTTTCCCCTTAAAAAACCTTATTTTCCTTTAACAAAACAAATCTACAACGTCATTTGTGCTGTCAATACAGAGAAAACTTAGCTGGCTATTAAATAGGTTGCCTTAGCAATGAAAGGTGTTACTAAGACTGACGCTCTTTTATGTGTTAACTAATACATTGCCCCCGAATGGAAACATGTAGGCATCAGATTGCTTAGGCCTTTCTTCCTTTCAGATTTCATTCTCAGTAGCCAAAGACAAGCAAATAAAGGATTTTTCTTTCTCTCTCAAATGTCAACAGTTTATATTCAAGGAAAGCACCTGAGAGGTCAGAGAAAGAAGAATCACAGAACATACAGTCTCAAATGCTGTCTGGCTCTATTTGCATCATACCTTTTCCTGTGTACATATACCCCTCATGCTAAGGGGTATATGTACACTGGGAAGACAGACTTAAGTGCTTCCCACCCTCCCTAAGAATGTGCCAACTCTTCTAACACATATTTATATTCTGGATCTGTGCTTCTGGTCACAAAGGGTCTGCTTATGAAGAGGAAGGCTGGCCCAGAAGAATATTCCCACTATCTGATTCCAGATCAGTTTCTCTTTCCTTTCGTATCTCAGAATGTATTATGAAAGTATGGGAACTCTGTTATAATGCCGATAGAAGGCCTTAAAAAGAGTGGTTGGGACAAGACCAAAAACCCAGAAAATCTGTTCTTTTTACTTAGCACATTACATAACAGCTAGTTCCTCCACACACACCACCATTGGGATCAAACCACAGGGTGCTCTATTACTGAGATGCATTTCCAGCCCTTTTTATTTTATTTATTTTTTAAAATTGTGGGACAGGGTCTCAATAAATTGCCCAGGCTGACCTCAAACTTCCGAACTTCCTGCCTTGGCCTCCCAAGTAGCTGGGATTATAGGCATGTACCACCACACCCCTGTCACCTTCAAGTATTTTTTACTTCAATTCTATTATTACCCACAATCCTTTTTGCTTATTTTTTTAAATTCCAAAGCTCTGAAGACATATGAAAAGTGAAAAAAGAAGAAAATATCCAAATAGTAGTAGTTTTATTTCTAATGCAATAAATTGAAGGGACAGAAACAGTTTAGTGAAAATATGACATAGGGATTTCCTATAGGTAGGTCATTTTTGCTTTCCATTTCATTAATTTTTTTATACATTATTCATCTAAAGAAAAAAAATCAATATTGGAATATCTCTCCATTTTGCTTCCTTATAATTTATTTTCTGTGAGTTCTAATTAACCAATCCTATAGTGACACTAAAGGTAAAAATAAATCAGTTTATACTGAACATGTATGGAAACCATGTAATTTCTGTTTTAGGAATTTCTTAAGGCAAAAGTATATTTTACATTAGCTCAAATTATTTAGAAAAGTTATTTATTGTCAGTTCCTCCCTCCACTGCCCCACTCAGCCACCACCATCTATCTCTCCAATCCCCAATTTCCTTATTTGTGCAGTGCCTCAACTGTGTGGTTCATCTGTGTCTGTACCATTCCAGTCCCTTGGCCAAAGTAAAACATGCTTGGCAGCATAGGGCAAGCCCTCTTCCCATTTGAGAAGGGTTTGAAAAAAGTTTGTTGTCCAATGGCCAAGATGTTCTTTGTCAGACATCTCCTGTCTCTGGACAAATTCAGGAAAGTCCTTCCTTATAGGAAGAAATGGAAGGCACTTTTAAGACAGTGCTGTCAAGCTGTATGGTGCATAGGATTACCTGGGGGCCCTACTAAAATGCAGATGCTCACTCAAGGGGTTTGGAGTAGGGTCTGAGAGTCTGCATTTCTAACAAGCTCCAATGGATGTCAGTGCTGTGGGACTGGAGACCATACTTTGAGTAGCAAGGCTTTAGAATATTGTCTGGTGGACTAACAATAATACTGACCTTCTGTACATAAGCATTGCTCAGAAAATAGATCATTAAAGTGGGCAACTGAAATGAGATTTTTTTTTTTTACACATGGCTATCCAACTGTTCTAGCACCATTTGAACTGTCTTGGCACCTTTGAAGAAAATCAATTGATCATTTATGTGTGGGTCTGTCTTTGAATTTTCTATTTTCGCCTGTTGATCTATATGCCTATTTTTAGGTCCTTGTCGTGATTACCATGGCTTTATAAGACTTAAAATCAGTTACTGTAAATCCTCTAACTTTGTTGTTTTTCAAAGTTGTTTAGACTATTCTATATCCTTCCATCTGTTTTGCTTGTATTTTTTTGTGAATATATAAGAAATGTAATTGGAAAATGACAAGAAAGGAAACTAGAAATGAAAATAAGGAGGAAAAGATGGAAAACAGGGCTGGGGTTGTGGCTCAGTGGTAGAGTGCTTGCCTAGCATGCATGAGGCACTGGGTTTGATCCTCAGCACCACATGAAAAATAAAATAAAGATATTGTGTCCACCTTAAAAAAAGATGGAAAACCAAAAATGTATGAAATTCTACATTCTTTATAAGTGAACTTAGACTATGAAATATCTAAATGGACTAAAACCAACTCATTTGAGTCATATTAATAAATAGGTAAACTTAGCCAGGCATGGTGGTGCACACCTGTAATCTCAGTGATTTAGGAGGTTAAGGCAGGAGGATTGTAAATTCAAGGTCAGCCTTGGCAACTTAGTGAGACAGTGTATCAAAATAAAAAATAAATAAATAAAAAGGGCTGGGGATATATCTCAGAGGTAAAGGTAAAACACCCCTGGATTCTACTCCCAATATTGCCAAAAAGATAAAACTTTGAAGAGTTGGATAGGTTTGCTAAAGATATAATAGAATACCTTTGTTCAAAGAACAAAGGAGGTGAGTAATCTTAGAGTGAGAAAAATTTCACTTTTGCAAATTTGTTTTTATCAATCATGAATCTAAGTATTACTGAGTCTGCTTTGAAGCTGAATAAAAGGGACAAGGGAAACCCAAACTGTTCCCTTGAAGTTGGGTAGATCACTTAAAGCACATTATAATATTTAGTGAAACACTCAAGATGAAGAGTATGATCACATTTTACAATAAGAACAAACAAAATTATACAACCTCTGTGTGAATATTTTCAGGGAAAAAAATGAAGAATACGTAACAAACTAACAGTGACTATTCCACGAAAATGATAGTGATAGCAAAGAGAAAAAAAGGCATAAATACATATTTTCTTTTTTAAATCTCTGGGCTATTTCCTTTTTTCTAACAATCACTTCCCTTTTTGCAAAAATTATTTCCTTATCAGAGAGTGAAGAAAGCAACAAAAATAAAACAAAAACATTTAATGAAGTAATTACACAGCATTCTAATGAGTTTTAATGTACACATAGGGTTTTCCGGTCACTGCCTCTAAAGTTCTCATTTTCTCAAGCCAAGGCACAGCAGGAGCTTGCAGGAACTGACCCAGGAGAATTTCTGTTCCTGGAAAAGCCCCATTATATAACCTCAAAGAAGAAACAACTGATGATATTTTATAGAGACAAATATCAGCTTACTCCATAGATGAATGTGGCACGAATTTATCTCTCAAATGTAAGATAAACATATACTTTCCCTTCTGAAGTCAATCTATGTAAATGAACAAATACTAATGTTTTTGAAACACCATTTTCCTAAATGAAAATATGTAGTCCATTTAAATTCATTTCTGAAATAGAGTTCATTACTCTCTGATATTGTCTGAAAACATGGAACAAAGCAGCCCTGCTCCTTTTCTAATGCTCTTCAGGGACTGAATGCCACATATGCTGGATCTGATCAGAGAAGCTGTCAGGCTGTATGGTCCTCTCTCCTGAACATATGCTAGACCTTATAATTTCATACAGGCTGCACTTTTTGTATGAAATATTCTCAGTAGGTGTTTTTTATGTGTGTATGGTGCTGGGGATCAAATCCATGCCTCTGCACACGCCAAGCAAGTGCTCTACCACTGAGCTACACCCCCCAGCCCAGGAAATTAACCTTTGATGTATGGTATTATTAAAGGTTAAATATGAAAACTGTACCTTTTTCCAAAACCAATTAAATATAGTCAGGTATAAGGGTCAGAGAAGTAAAACCTCTACTGTAGATCCTTACTATTAAGAGTGTGGTCCACTGAACAGCAGCAGTGGCAGGATTTTAACAAGATCCCCAGATGATTCCTGTGCTGTAGTGACTATTCATGAAATGTAAAAGTAAGATGAGAACTCGTGTAAAAAGGAATAAATATCTTAAAAGTTCATTTTCAACAGTATAGTCCAGCACATTTTTAAAAAATATGCTACTAGGATCAAAGAAAGAATAACATTTCATTAAAACAAACAAAATTTCATCAAACATTCTGTATAAGTCCTGACCAATAGACTGCTTTAGTCCATATTAACCAACAAAAATTTTAATACAAAGAAAATTGATGGATATTTTCTATAGCCTTATATAAGTAATTCATTCCAAATGATTTTTTAGCTAATAAATGGAGATACTTGGAAACATGGTGCTTTAAAAAAATGCTAACTGCTCAGTGGGCTGTTTAATGTCCAAATAACTTAGTCTGTACACTTTGAATGCAATTCAGACACCACATAGATGTTAAGAAGATAAATTAACATAAAATGTATATCAGGAAACATCACCTCATTTGATGGCTGTAATAAATTTTTTCCACTGAAATACTTGTAACCACGACCTTCAGTATGCAGAAAAATTTTAAAAACGATAAAAGGTGGAAACCTTTCACCACTAAATCTGAAATAAAGACCAAAAATAAGTCATTTACCATCAGTTTTGGGGCTCAATTACTTCTCCCCCCGTACTTCAGATAGTTCATATAGTCTCTTGAATACAGGGTAAAGGCTATGCCAACAGCATACAATAATCTAGTAATGAAATGAACTGAAGATGATGAGAGACTCAGCACTTTGGGGTGCTCACAACTATTCTCATACTGTCAGAATGGACACTGAATGGGAGATGAGTGCTACCCTCATGACAACTTTTAGTGAAACAGTTATGCCATAGTTTCTTCACATGACAAATGCAAATAAAAACAACACATTTAAATTGTAATTATATCCTGGGAAGTTATGAGGATTTAAAAAATTAATTTCTGAAATTTCTCCTTATTAACTAAGTATTCTTTGAGAGAAATCAGCATAGACACATTACCTGAATCTGACTTTACACTTCATGCTAGGATCTTTAATAAGTTCAGCCTCTAAGGGGCTCACTTTCTTCAGAATTTCATATGTCACATAATGTTCCTGAAATAGATGATGGCACTGTAAATGAAAAGTATCACACTAGCCAGATTTAATTTGCTGACTATAACAGAGGAAGCATGATGAAGTGGGCTTGGAGTTCTGAAGAGGTGTGCTCCTATCTTGGCTCCTACTTTGTCATCTGTGTAGTTTGGAGTCAGTTACTTAATCTTTTGGGTATCCAAATTTGGGTATGTGTCCTTTTTGAGATCACAGGCATTATTCTTTCCCTATGACAATACTTTTCACAATCTATTGTAATTACCTGTAAACTTGACTATGTCTCCTACTAGTCTTTAAGTGACATGAAGGTAGGGACAATGTCTTTCTTCTTTACTACTATATCCCTAACATCTAGTACAGTGCCTGGAACATACGAGATGTTTAACAAGTATTTGATGTTGAATGAATCGCTGTAAAAATGAGGATGATAATAGTAATGCTACCAGCTTTTTAAGCACCTTTCATGTACCACAAAGTTTGTTAGATGCCTTATATATGAAAAATCTCATTTAATCCTTACAACAACAATATTATTAGAATATTATCACTCTAAGGGGTGGAGTGGGAGGAAAGAATAGAACTTCAGTGGATTAGACAAAAGGGAATGAAGGAGCTGGGTGCAGTGGCACACACCTGTAATCCAAGCAGCTCGGGAGGCTGAGGCAGGAGGATCAAGAGTTCAAAGCCCGCCTCAGTAATGGTGAGGCCCTGTCTCTAAATAAAATACAAAATAGGGCTGGGGATGTGGCTCAGTGGTTGAGTGCCCTGGAGTTCAATCGCTGGTAGCAAAAAAAAAAAAAAAAAAAAAAAAAAGGAATAAAGGGAAGTGAGGGTGGGAATAGGAAAGAGTAGAATGAATCAGACATAACTTTCCTATGTTCATATATGAATACACAATCAGTGAAACTCCAGAACATGTACAACCACAAGAATGGGATCATAATTAGAATAAGTTATCCTCCATGTATGTATAATATGTCAAAATACACTCTACTGTCATATATATCTAAAAATAATAAATAAAATAATTAAAAAATATATTATCACTCCATTTTACAAATGAGAAAGCTGAGGCCTGGGGAGTTTTTGTAACTTACACAACAGCATGCAGATAGCAAATAGGGAAGCCAGAATTTAAACTTTGATCTGTTTAACTCTAAAATTCCCACTATTTATCCTAAACAACCCCACTCAATCTTTATACCTATGATAATCATATAAAAATGTATAATAAAGGGCTTTTAATAAGACCAAGCATTATTAATGTAAAGTATTGACTTGAAGCATTTGAATAACAGATGAAAAAAGAATTTATTTTCTTCTTTCTGTTGCTAAGAGTATAAAATTATGAGGAAACCTGTAATATAATACTTAAAACATGATTTGTATACAAAGACAATGGACAATGAGCCTGAAATGTCAAGAGTTCACTTGGGTGGGTTTTCTTTGGGATGTTCTATTTTTACTGACCTCATAAATGGGTCCGTGAATCAGAGGGTGAAGAAGTGTACACACTGCTCAGAATTTATTTTTTTCACTGCTAAAATTTCCTGTAATATGACTATCACTAATAGTAAACTACTGGAATTATGGGTTCTTCTTTTAAAATATTTTTTTAGTTGTAGTTGGACACAATACCTTCATTTATTTATTTAATTTTATGTTGTGCTAAGGATTGAACCCAGCGTCTCACACGCGCTAGGCAAGCTCTTTAACGCTGAGTCACATCCCTAGCCCCATTGGTTCTTTTATTAGGAGAGTATTTGGCAACTAGGGTTGCCAAAGTTGTTTACATAGGGGGGGGGGATTAAGGATATGCATCTGTTTCTGTTTTTTACTCAAATAGGATTATACTCTTCATACTCTTCTGACTTGATTTTTTCACTATCAAGCTATGCTGGTTATTTTTCTATTGCAGAATATTTTAATGCTGTAAGGTTTAACACTATGAAAACAGCAACACTTATTTAATCTACATTCTATCAATGGACATTATGTGGTTCATTTTCTTTGCTATTATAATCAATGCTGCAATGAAGTTGTACATATATCACAGAATGGACTCTTAGAAGTGAAATTCTGCCAGGCATGGTGGTACATGCCTGTAATCCCAGTAGCTCCGGATGCTGAGACAGCAGGATCATGAGTTCAAAGCCAGCCTCAGCAAAAAGTAAGGCGCTAAGCAACTCAGTGAGACTCTGGCTCTAAATAAAATATAAAAAAAGGGATGAGGATGTGGTTCAGTGGTTGAGTGCCCCTGAGTTCAATCCCCAGTACCAAAACAAAACAATAACAAAAAGAAGTGAAATTCCTAGGGGCAAGATGGGGGAATAGAGGGGTTGTTTCCCTAGTGGCTCAGTGGCATGAACCAAGAAAAGCAAACAGGCAGCTTTTTAGCAAGGTGGATGAATGATCAAGACTGGGGGGGGGGGGAGCAGGGCTACTCTACCACTCAGTGGTAGAGTGTTTGCTTAGCATGCATGATGCACTGGGTTCAATCCTCAGCACCACATAAAAATAAATAAATAAAAATATTGTATCCACCTAAAAAACTAAAAAATAAATATAAAAAAAAGAATTAGGAGGACTTTACTGGAATTTAATATTGGTCACTCAAAACAGATCAGGGACTCAGGAGATCTTGTATAATAAAATAAGGGGGATCAGCCCCATAGCCATGACAGTGGCTGAAGACACAAACGATAACAGTCCCTATGTGAACGCAGTAAAGCAATAAAGGAATTAAAGGAACCCCCATTCTCAGGAAGCCTGAGGCATGTTGGGGTACAGAGAGTTTAGAGATCAGACACTGCTCGAGAAAACAGTGAGCTGTGCTGCACAGTATCCAGGAATGGGAGGAAAGCTCCATCTCTCTTGGCAATGTGCACAGAGGACAGCAGAAGGAACCATTTTGTAGCTGTAACACAAGGGGCTAGCAGCTGGGGAAGCCAATTACTGGCAGACCAAAGTCTGACCTGAAAAACAAGATAGGCAAACTCATACAGCAGTATGACAGAGAGTGTACCTAAATGACCAGGAGAAATGGAAAGAGATTTACAGAGGGGAATACTGGTCACAGAAACCCACCTGGCTTCCCTACCCAAACAGAATCAGGAAGACATACACAATTTAAACAGGCCAATTTCAAGCAATGAAAGAGAAGATGCCATCAAAACCTACCAATTGAGGAGCAAGGTCTGGGGTAGGGGCGGCAGGAGCCATGTCCAGCCGGGAAGGTGGCAAGAAGAAGCCTCTGAAACAACCTAAGAAGCAAGGAGATGGATGAGGAAGATAAGGCTTTCAAACAGAAACAAAAAGAGGAGCAGAAGAAACTTGAGGAGCTAAAAGCGAAGGCCGCAGGGAAGAACCCCCTGGCCACAGGTGGAATTAAGAAATCTGGCAAAAAGTAAGCCGATTCTTGTGCCTGAAATGATTGTGACCGTTGATTCCATTCCTATTTAGACATCTGGATCCCTGCTGTAACATCTTTTGCCACCTATAGCTAGAATGAAGTGTTATGTTGGAGTCTGTTGTAAATTTAATAAACTTTCGTAAAATAATAATAATAATAATAATACACACACACAAAAAGCCTACCAATTAAGAAAAGCCCAGGACCAGATGGATTCTCAGCCAAATTCTACAAGACCTTCAAAGAAGAATTAACACCACTACTCCTCAAATTATTCCATGAATAGAAAAGGAGGAAACCCTTCTCAACTCATTCTATGAAGCTAGTATCATACTGATAACAAAACCAGATAAAGACATATCAAGGAAAGAAAACTTCAGACCAATATCCCTGATGAACATAGATGCAAAAATTCTCAATGAAATTCTGGCAAATCACTTACAAAAACATATTTAAAGGATAGTGTAGGGGCTTGGGATATAGCTCAGTTGGTAGAGTGCTTGCTCTGCATGCACAAGGCACACTCAACACCACATTAAAAAAATAAATAAAATAAAGGTCTATTTAAAAAAAAAGTCAGTGGGATTTATTTATATATAAAAAAAAGATAGTGTACCATGATCAAGTGGAGTTAATCCCAGGGATGGAAGGTTGGTTAAACATATGAAAATCAATAAATGTAATTTATCACGTCAATAGACTTAAAGAATCATATGATCATCTCAATAGGTGCAAAAAAAAATTTGACAAAATACAGCACCGCTTCATGTTCAAAACACTAGAAAAACTAGAGATAGAAGGAACATACCTCAACATTGTAAAAGCTATATATGCCAAATACAATGCCAACATCATTCTAAATGGAGAAGAGCATTCTAAATGGAGGAGGCATTCCCTCTAAAAACTGAAACAAGACAGGGATGCCCCCTTTCACCACTTTTATTCAACATAGTCCTTGAACCCTAGTCAGAACAATTAGACAAAAGAAAGAAATTAAAGGGATACGGATAGGAAAAGAAGAATTCAAACTATTACTATGTGCCAATGACATGATTCTATATTTAGAAGACCCAAAAAATGACACCAGAAAATTTCTAGAACTAATAAATGAATTCAGCAAAGTAGCAGGATATAAAATTCACACCCTTAAACCAAATGTGTTCTTATACATCAGTGATGAATCCACTGAAAGAGAAATTAGGAAAACTACTCCAATCACAATAGCCTCAAAAAATAAAATATTTGGGAATCAATATGACAAGAGGTGAAATACCTCTACAATCTAAACTACAGAACACAAAAGAAAGAAATTGAAGAAGACCTTAGAAGCTAGAAAGAGCTCCCACGTTCCTGGAAAGGCTGAATTAACATTGTCAAAATGGCCATACTACCAAAAGCGTTATACCGATTTAATGCAATTTCTATTAAAATTCCAATGACATTCTTCATAGAAATAAAAAGCAATCATGAAATTCATTTGGAAAAATAAGAAACCCAGAATAGCAAAGCAATCCTTAGCAATAAAAGTGAAGCAGGAGGCATTACAATATCAGACCTTTATACTACAGAACTATAGTAACAAAAAACACCATGATATTGACACCAAAACAGACATGTAAACCAATGGTACAGAATAGAAGACACAGAGACAAACCCACATAAATACAGTTATCTCATGCTAGACAAAGGCACTAAAAATATGTATTGGAGAAAAGATAGTATCTTCAACAAATAGTTCTAGGAAAACTGGAATCCATATATAGCAAAATGCAATTATACCCCTATCTCTCACCCTGCACAAAACTGTAAGTGGATTTCTGTTCTAGGACTTAGGCACTAGAACAGAAACCCTGTGTCTAATAGAAGAAAAAGTAGGCCCAAATTTCTATCATGTTGGCTTAGGACCTGACTTCCTTAACAAGACTCCTAAAGTGCAAGAAGTGAAAACAGGGATCAATAAATAGGATGGAATCAAACTAAAAAGCTTCTTCACAGCAAGATCATGACGAGAGAGCCTATAGAATGGGAGAAAATCTTTGCCACCTTCACCTCAGATAGAGCATTAATCTCCAGGATATCTAAACAATTCAAAAAACTTAACACCAAAAAACCAAATAACTCAATAAATGGGTTAAGGAATGAACAGACATTTCACAGAGGAATACAGTCAATCAACAAATATATGAAAAAAATGTTCAACATCATTAGCAATTAGAGAAATGTAAATCACAACTACACTGAGATTTCATCTCACTCTAGTCAGAATAGCAATTATCAAGAATATAAGCAATGATAAGTGTTAATGAGGATGTGGGGAAAAAGGTCCACTCATACATTGCTGGTGGGACTGCAAATTGGTCCAACCACTCTGGAAAGCAGTACAGAGATTCCTGAGAAAGCTTAGAATGGAACCACTATTTGACCCAGTTATCTCACTCCTTGGTTTATATTCAAAGAACTTAAAATCAGCATACTATAGTAATGCAGCCACATCAATGTTTATAACAGCTCAATTCACAATAGCTAAACCATGGAACCTACCTAGGTACCCTTCAACAGATGAATGGATAAAGAAACTGTGGTATATATACACAATGGAATATTACTCAGCCTTAAAGAAGAATGAAATTATGGCATTTGCCAGTAAATGGATGGAGCTGGAGAATATAATGCTAAGTGAAATAAGCCAATCCCATAGAACAAAAGGCAGAGGGGAATGAAGGAGGGGAGGGGGTAAGGGGGTAGGAAGGATACTAGAATTGTACATTATTGTCCTATGTGTATATATATATATATATATGATTACATAACTGCTGTAATTCTACATCATGTACAACCAGAAAAATAAAAAGTTACAGTCAATTTATGTATGATGTGTGAAAACGCATTCTACTGTCATGTATAACTAATTTGAGCAAATAAAAAAAATTTAAAAAAGAAACAAAATTCCTGCATGGAAGGTAAGGGCATTTTTAGTTCAGAGTTTGGTTTGGTTTGGTTTGCTTTGGTGCTAGGGATTGAAACTAGGGTCTCCCACATGCTATGCATGGGCTCTACCACTTAGTCATACCCTCAGCCCCCTAATTCAGCATTTAAAAAATTACTTTTTTTTTAACAGCGTTGGGGATTGAACTCGGCCTTGTGCATGCTTAATTCAGAAATTTTTTAATTGTTGGAAGTATTCTGTCTCATGCTTTCAAATAAGGAATAAAATTTTTAAAAAAGACAATATTTTTACTTCAGAAAAAGAAATAATAGTCATCCATATTAAAAATAAATCCAGAAATATTCATTTGTAGCTAACAAAAGAAGCAATTTCAGGACCCTATGCAATGTTATTAGATCAAAATGAAAGAGATAAAGAAGATTATTTATTCTATCTTTAGTTAACAGATATTTTAGCTGGGTAATTCTGTCAAAGAAAAAAAATACATACCGCTGCACAAACTGTATGTTTTAGGAGTTGAAATATTACTTTGTCCATATAAGTGAACCAAGATTTCTGTATTTTCCGAGCTGAAATTTCTCTATCAATTATGAGAAGAAAAAAAGAGGTTAATATATATGACATAAGTTTTAATTTTTGTAAAGTCTTGGAAAACTCTCAATTTATGTTTATTTCTCCTATATCTCTTAATCTTCCATGCTAAGAACGACTTAATGAGGGACATTTGGACACAAGAAATGGAACTGGTAATTTGTAGAATCTAGTCAGAATGAAGACATGCATACTTGAGAATATCTCCCTTGAGATTAAAAAGAAAAGTCCTGGTAAAAACCTTATCATTTTAGGCAAATATATCATAAATTTATCATTAAGACACATATAATACATAGGGCTGGGGGTGTAGTTCAGTGATATAGCCCTTGTCTACTATGTATAAGGCCCTGAGTTTGATCCCAAATACCCCAAAAGAGGCATATAATAAATAAGAATTGTGAAGAGATAAGCTTGGTTCCTAAAATGATTTGGTTACAGTTCTTTAAAACTGTCCAACTGGTTCAGGTGGAATGAAAATGGAATGTGGACTAGCTGAAGTTACAGGAGGCCCAGGTCTCTTCTGGGAGCTGATAACTACGCTCTAGAAAAAGAAACTCCCTTCTCCAATATTTGCTTGAACCAACTAGGCTAATCCTAGTCAAGTCAGACAATTATTCTCTATTAATCATATCCCAGCACTGGCTGATTGTGAGGGTCTTCCTATATAATATCCTCCCACCCCATCATTATCCATGATAGAGCCATGTGCAGAGAGGGACTCTTTTTTAATATTTATTTTTTACTTGTAGTTGGGCACAATACCTTTATTTTATTTATTTATTTTTATGTGGTGCTGAGGATTAAATCCAGGGTCTCCCATGTGTGAGGCGAGCGCTTTACCACTGAGCAACAAACCCAGCCCCAGAGAGAGACTCTTAATGCTGCTTACAGTTTACATTCTTTGTGTACTAGAATATGTGCTATATTGGAAAGACAAGTGAATTTACCCATAGCCTTCTAATTAGACTGTTTAATGTCACCATTGACTGGCAAAATGCAGAATACAAGATGCAGAGAAGACCTGAAGTATGGAAACAAACCTTTGAATACTAGTTGATACCCATTTATTAGTTTAACTTTCTGCAAGTCACTTATCTTCTACTAGTTGTTTATTCCTCATTTATAAAATATAATAATAAGGGGCTGGGGTTGTGGCTCAGCAGTAGAGCACTGGCCTAGCACGTGCAGGGCACAGGGTTCCATCCTCAGCACCACATAAAAATAAAATAAAGATATTGTGTCCAACTTCAACTAAAACCCAAAATATTAAAAATATATAATAATAAAACTGTTTCATAAGGTTGTATCAGGATCAAATAGATGTGTGTTAACCTGCTTTGTAAATTATAAAATGCTATAATTATTGTCATTCAACTTGACAATAATCTTAAAACATGAAAAACTTGGGCTGGGGTTGTAGCACAGTGGTAGAGCGCTTGCGTGAGGCACCGAGTTCGATAATCAGCGCCACACAGAAATAAATAAAATAAAGGTCCTTCAACAACTAAAACACTTTTTTGAAAAATTTTAATTTACACAAGAAGTGTTTGAAGTTATCTGGGTAAATATGGATAAGTTTGGAAACTGTCCATTTGTGAAGAATGACACAAGGCAAAAGATGGGTACTTACAGTCGTTTTGCCTTTGCAACATTTAGAAAATGTGCTTTGTGGCCTTTTCTTGGCTGTTGATTATCTGATTTTGGAATACGGGTGTCTGCTGCATTTGAGGAATGACTCATTTTCCTTATGATGAAGTAATCTGAAATTACATAAATTAAGCCTTTTTAATTTATTTTTGGGACTGGAATTGAACCTAGTGGCATTTTACCACTGAGCTACATCCTCAGCCCTTGTAAACTTTTAAAAATTTTGTGACAGGGTCTAGCTAAGTCGCCCAGGCTGGCCTTGAACTTGAGATCCTCCTGCCTCAGCCTCTTTAGCAGTTGGGACTAAAGGCTAAATTAAGCTTTCGAGGTCATAATCCATATTATTATACTCCTTGGACTTGACTCATGCTAAAATTGTTGTGCTAATTAGAGAATTCTTTAAAAAGGAAGGCATCATGGATCTCTTAATGTTGCTTATGTTTTACATTTTTTGTGTACTAAAAATATTATTTGGTATGTGGGAAAGACAAATGGCTCTCCCCACAGTCTTCTAACTGGTCTTTGTCTCTAGTCTCTTTCTCCTTGTGTTCATTCTTTACACTACAGCTAGAGTTAACTTTTTAGAGCAATAATTCAGTCTTATCACTCTCCTATTATCACCCAGAAATCCTGTTGAGGGCAGGAGGCACTTTTTTTTTTTTTAACCAGGGATTGAACCCAGAGGCACTTAACCGCTGAGCCACATCCGTAGCCCTTTTTATTTTTTATTTAGAGATAGGGTCTCGATAAGTTGCTTAGGCCCTTGCTAGTTTGCTAAGGCTGGTTTTGAACTTGTGATCCTCCTGCCTCAGCCTTCTGAGTGGCCAGGATTACAGGTATGACAACTGCACCCAGAAGGAGGCACTTTGATAACTGGTGCCTAGCAGAGTGAAGAGGTTTTACAAATTTGTCTGAAAACTTTTCATCCTACATTTAGCAAATAGCCATAAGACTTTAGGCAAATCATGTAACTTCTTCATGTTCAACTCCCTCATTGGTAAAGCAAGAGGGTGTATTGTAAATTACCTGATTCTGCCTCTAACTTTTTTAGTTTTTGAAGCATTACTCCAATTTGGATGCAGCTCCCAAATTCTTAGTCACATCATGAAAACATTTTAAAAGCAAAATTATAGTAATGTTTGTGTCTTATTTATACATTAAATAACAAATCTAATAGCTATTGTACTTTTGAAGTACTAATGAGCATAAATGATATTTTGAGCTGTCTGCCATGATTGCAACATGGTATGAAAATATCTGTGCTTTCTACTGATGACAAAGTCAGAGGTACTGTTAATACTACTGTGGGTTGTTGCCTACACTACAATTGAAAGAAATGCTAAAGTTCAGTTAGAGGTTAGTAAAAATGAAATTGTCATTTTCCCCCAAGTTCACATATCCCTTGAATTTAGAACACCTGCTCTAATTTATCACTATGCTTCACACTTTTATGTATAATGTTACATTATTGATGCAGAGCCTTCAGAATCTATTCAATATTTCTTCTTAGGGATGGGGATGATTTTTAGAATATACAATATTCTTGAGAAAAGCAGTCCTAACATCTGAGAGTTAGCCTAGCACCCATAGCTGGGCCTCGCTGTTACCCCCACTTCCCAACAGAGCCTAATGCAAAGCAAAGCTCTGCTTTCTTGAACTTGCCCCCAAATCACCCAACCAAAGCCCAAATCCTAAAATGTTTCTAACACCTTCTTACTGAAATGCGCCACCTTCCCCCAGATGTGTGTTTTTCTAGCAGCAATGAGAAACCTCAACTTCTTCAAATACAGTTGTTTCCTAGTAGCATTTGGCTGGTAGACAGTGACATGACACTGCCCAAATCCCAAAATCTTTCAGATGTCCATATGGATGGGACTTCCATTTTCTATCTGATTAGGATGGAAATACAGAATGAAACATTCCCTTATTATTTAGAGAGTATAAAAGTTGTTTAGTCTGAGTACAGGTTTCAAAGGCACACTACCTGAGTTTGGACCCTGGTTTCGCATTCTCTCTCTTTGTGGATTTGAATCAATAAATGACTTCACTGTGCCTCAGCTTCTTCATCTATAGATTGGGAATGGTAATCTTGCCCATCTACTTGGGTTAGATGAGTATGTGTAACAAGCTTTGATCAGAGCTGCGCACATATTGCTGTATTAGTGCTTGATATTCTTGTTAATAATTATTCCTATTATTACTTACTTCTACAAGTATTAAGGGACAAATATTTGAGTCCCAGGGAGGAACTTCCACGTAAATATCTTAAAGAGAATAAAGAATGTTAGAACCTTTCGCGACTAAAGCACGTGGCAAATAAGTTTAAATTTAAACCCTGAGAAATGTCCAGCCCACGGTAAAAATCCCAAAAAACCTTTTGTGAGGTAAATCCAGGCCCTGATCAACGACTTCCGGCTGGGAGGCTTTGGAAGCTTCTCGAGGTCCGACGAGCGCCCTCAGCCGGCCGCCTCCGCGTACAGGATTCCTAACCCACACGGTGGAGCGCCCAATCGTGGCCGCGAAGGCAAATTCCCAGCGCCTCCCTTCTCGTGCCCCCGCGTGCAGCCCACACTGCCGCCTAGCAACAGCTAGCGCAGAGGCGGAGACTCCAGGAGGGCGGGACTTACGCTTGTCCATTGCCCCAGGCGCGACGCGCTGCAGCTCAACAAGGCTACTTTTAGCCAAGGGTGGTTGAACTAAGCCTTCGCGGATCAAGGTGGTTGTACCGTTGTCAACCGTAGGGCAGTCCGTGTGCGGTGTAGGAATCTGGGCCCTAACGGGTCTCCGTAGTTGCCTTTCTATAGTGGGCGGGGCCGAGGCCGGGGTGACCCTGCCGGAGCCGCCGCTGCCAGCGACATGTTCAAGGTGAGATCTTGGAGCCGGGTCACAGCTGTCATCGCCCCCTCCCGGCCGCCCGGAGACCTCCCCACGTTCTCGTGGGGCCTCTCCGGGGACCAGGCCCGTCTCACCCCTGGGCTTTTCCCGCCTCCGAGCCGGCTGCGTCCCGGCCCCTTGGTTCATTCACCGGTCTTCTTGGGCAGCGTGCGTCTGCCGGGCGGAGGCGTGAGACCCTGGGGTGGGTGGGGTTGGCCCTTTGGGTCATACTCGTGAATAAAACACTTTGAAAAGTTGTGGCTTCCCCCAAAGTACCCACCTTCCCGGTGCACTCTTGGGATCGTGGGTAGGTGAGGCCAGTTCAGGACACTGCAGGGTTCGTGGCTTTGGTTGCTTGGAAGAGTCAGGTTTCAGAACCTGGAATGTGGGTGGGGGAGGGTCACCTTCGGAAAAGCTGCTCGAGGTTGTGGGGGAGGCTGGCATGAAATGGATGCACGTGGAGGGAAGCTGGAGCTTTGCTCAACTCCTCAGCAAGCAGTATTGATATGGACAAGTCGATCCTCTTACGTTTTCTTTGAAGTCGTGTGCTTTGAAAGAAATCTACTCATATAGTGAAGGTTATTTTGAAAAACCTGCCTTTTAGCATAAAGTCCCTATTCTACCATCTTTTTTAAAAAAGCATATTTTCAGTATAAAAAACAAATCCCATGCTGACGGAAACTTATCTACAGAATTGAGTCTTCAAGAAACAGTATCCATAAAATAGTGCTAACGAAGTCTGGAAATTGTGCTACTCATTTAAAAGTTTCATTGAGCTGTAGTGTGCTTTGGACACATTCTAGTAATGGCTATAAAATCAGAGCATGGATTCTACTTTCCAAGTTTTCCTGTTGGTGAAATTAGGGTAATAGCTTACAACTCATAGGGTTGTTAGAAGGAGTAAGTTGGTATGTGGAAAGCACATGGAAAAGGCCTTAACACATAGAATTGCCATCTGAGTATTTGCTTTTACTTGTTTTAGGCAGCTCAGTTGGGTCAGGAATACAGATCCCATAATCAACTTGCATTCATTTTATAAATTATGTTAAACACTTGTTAAATACTGGGAACTCGGCTGTGTTACAGGATTACAAGGATGAAGGGTATGCTATAATCAGCTAAACTGTGTTGGTATCAACAATGTAAGTATGGTAGTAAAAAGGAGAGTTGGGTCTATTTGCCCTAACTGGGGGTTCTTAACCTTGGGTCTTCAACTCCTCAAATGGTCTGTAGCTAGAGCTCATGGGTTCCCTAAACTGTTAGAGGGAAAAATTTTTATTTTTACCAGTCTCCGTCAGTAATGAGCATTTCCTTCAGTTATGATTATGGCTATTCATTTTAGTTATCTGTTGTTGGATAATGAACCACTGCAAATCAGTGCCTTAATATGATTTACTAATTCTCAGAATCTGGTTTGGCTGGGCAGTTCTGCTAGTAGCTTAACTGAAAGGTGGCCTTGCCCCAGTGTACGGAGGCTTTGTGCCCCTCCATGTGCCTCCTATGGGCTTTCTCATGAGGCTCTAGGAGGGCAGGTCCTAATACACAAACACTTATCTGCATCACATTTGCTGTTGTCAAGCCATGTCCAGAGTTGATATGGTACAGGACTATACAAGGACATGGACATGGAGAGGGCTGGTTGATTGGGGACCATTGATTAAACAAGCTCCTATAGCAATAAACCACTGCAGGTACCTGTCATCAATAGAAGTCACAGTACCTGTGCAAGTCACAGACATTTTCTTATGTTACAGTTGTTGCAGATCTCAAAATACCATTCGTGCTTATCACTATGTCAAAATTAGTTAAAATCTAGATCTTTAATAGGCTAGTAAACAAGCACATATTACTGTATTACGAGTTTGAGTCTTAAAATATGATTATTTTAATGTAATTAGTATTTTATGCAATTAGAAGCATTATTTTGAGAAGGGTTCCTTGTTGTTAAAAAAAAAAAAAAAGATAAGGAATCCCTGAGGACTTCAGGGAAGGCTTCACAGAGGGGACATTTTAATTTAGTTTTGAAAGACAGGAATTTTAATCAGGTGAATGAACCTGGGGCATATCAGCAGTGGTACTCCAGCTGGTAGCTCACTTATTTTTTTGTACCGGGGATTGAACCCAGGGACACTTAGCCACTGAATTATACTCCCAGACCCTTTTATTTTTTATTTTGAGACAGGGTCTTGCTAAGTTGCTGAGGCTGGCCTGGAACTTGTTATCCTGCCTCAGCCTCCCAAACTGCTGGGATTACAGGTGTGTGCCACCACACCCAGGTGGAGGCTCACTTTTGATGTGTCAAGAGAAAGCTACAGTGAGCTGAAATTATTCCAGGTGAGCATGTATTTTGAGTAGAAAAGATCACAGCAAACCTTGGAGGACACCAAAATGTAAGGAGTAGGCAGAGGAAGAAGGGAGGCCAGGGATGGAGTAGTAACTTTTGAGAAGTAGACAAAAGAGTGATGTTTAGAAAATCAAGGGAGAAGGGGTACTAGATCTGTAGCTCCATGGTAGAGCTTATGCAAGAAGCCCTGGGTTAGACCCCTAGTGCTGTGGGATGGAGGGTTTGAGGGGGAGAAAAGCCAAGAGAGGAGGGTTTCAAGGAGGACAGACTATGCTTTTGTCTGGGAAAACCTAATCAATAAATAGTAACTCAGGGCTCACTGATTCAGTGTCATCAGGGACTGGTCTCTTCTTGGCTTTCCATGGTAACGTTGATTTCCCTTATACTTCCAAGATGACTGCAAGTAACATACACACTTTCTCATTCACTAGAGAGAAGACAAAACTCCCATGCTTCCTCCAGGTGTGATTGGATGAATTTAGGTTAGGTACCTAATCCAATAGTAGTTGCCAGAAGAATGCCATGCTCTGATTGGCTTAGACTGTACAGGATCACTTTACCTTAATGGAAAAGGAATGAATTCATGAACACAGTAGGGTTCTTTGGGGAAGGAAGAGGTGGAATGGAGACTGGATACACAACCAAAAATGACCATTTCAGAGAGATAAGTTAGATTTGAGTTTGGACACATGCTCATTGCTTTGGGCTCTTGGGAAAGCTTTCATGAACCTTATACGTGTACATTTACCGATGGAAGTAAAATATTAGCATGGGTAGGTGACTCATAAATAAAAGGACATAGAGTTTACTGTTAAAGGAAGGAAAGAACTAATTAGAAGGAAATATTGGATCAAAATTCTAGAGTGGGGGGCTGGGGCTGTAGCTCAGTGGTAGAGCGCCCACCTCACACATGTGAGGCACTGGGTTCGATCCTTAGCACCACATAAAAATAAAGATATTGTGTCCAACTACAACTAAAATAATAATAATAATAATAAAAGATTCTCAAGTGGTTTTGTGGTTGTAATAGCATTCGAGGTTTGGCAGTGTTTATGGTCTTGGGAGGAATGTAGAGAGGGAAGTTTTTAAAAAGAGAATCCCTCGACTTCAAAAAGGGGCAAAAGACTCCTTTCTGTGAGATGGAAGGAAAAGAGTGGGAGTGATTATAGACCCATGGTTCTCAACTGAATGGTAGCTGCTCCTTAAGGTACAATTTAGAAACTCAAGAGGTTGTTCTTTAAGTCTTTGGTTGTATTAAACATTTTACACTGAAATAGAATTCTGATAAATCATTCCTTTTGTCATCTTTATATTACCATCAAATAAGTATGCTGATATCTTCTTTTGAGCTTTTGTTTGTTAGTGGATGATGGAATTTTATTACAGGATATCAAGAGTGTTACCAAATATTTGTCCTAAAATAGTGATGTTAGGTCTATTAGTTGAGAATCAGTGCTTGTCAAACTTTAATGTAAATGCAACTCTTGTTAAAATCCAGATTCTACAGATTCCAATTCAGTAGGTCTGGGATGGGCCCTCAGATTCTCCATCTTTTTAGTGAGCTTCCAGGTGCTATAGATGTTGCTGGTTCCCCCATCACACTTGCAATAGTTAAGAATTAATTAGTTAAGAATTAAACTAAATTGATGGTGAATCATTTATTGTATTTTTGAGGTGGGTGGATTTATGAATTTGGCGGGATTGGGAAGACACAATGATTAAGAAACAAAAAAAGGCCAGCAGCTAGGCTGGGGATATAGCTCAGTGATAGAGAGCTTGCTTTAGCATGCAGGAGGTCCTGGTTCAATCTCTAGCACTGCAGAACAAAACAAACAGGCCAGAGGCATTGTTGATTGGGAACAGAATAAATGGTAGGATTGATATGTCTTTGGAAGTTAACTGCTTGGAGTAAATAGAACTGGAGGGCATGAGAGTTGATAGTGTAGGTGTTGGTGGAATAGTAGTACAATGTGTATAACGAGTTATGTGCATGTTTAATAGCCATTGTTTTGATTTAGCTATTCATCTTGTAGTCAGTAGGGGGCATTAGTGGATTAAAAACACATTTGAAAAACTTCCCAGTATTTGCATTCTATTGTAGGAAGTTTTCTTAGTGCTGGTTCAGCAAGTTTGAATACTGAATATATACACCCAGTCCCCAGATTCACATTACTATATTTCATTCATTTCTCAGATTTTATCAGTGTCCAACTGTAGGCTGTGTACCATGCCAGGACCCTGGTGTGTACAAGTGACATGACCCAGTTCTTACCTAAGACAGTTGCTAAATCTGACCACACACCAGAATTATTTAAGGACAGAAGTAGCTTCCAGGGCCCTGCTCATGCTTCCAGTTTACTTTCTTAGGTGGAATTCAGGAACTTTTAGGTTTGAAAAAGGCCCCAGGTGATAATGAAACTTTCATTTCAGAAGCTCACATGTGGTTAGCAGCACAGATATATATTAAAAAGTGTATTATAGTGCAGTGAGTCTCAACTTTGCATGTTAGATCCCCTTGGGAAGCTTTTAAAAGTCCCTATGCTCAGTCTGAACCCCAGACCAATAATGTTAAAATCTCTAAGGGTGAGATCTAGGTATCAGGTTTTTGGAGCATTCATCCAACCTTGAGAACTACCAGCTTAGAAGG